GGAACAGAATCTTTCGTGAACTCTTTTCTGCTTCAGACATATTTACACAAAATGTTTCTAAGTACTGCTGATCAGTGAAGGGATGTGGCAAGCTCATGGTGGGCAAACGATTGTGTCTGCCCTGTCCTGCAGTCTTCCGTGAATGTCTAAGCCTGAGCTTTTGTTGAAGTGCACGTGCTAATTAAAACCAAAAAGGACCACTGGAATTGGAATGTAAAAAGAAATATGAAGTCTGATTGAAGAGGAGAGCTCTAGATCGACCATGCAGCAGGCTGCTGAGCTCTCTGTGTTTCGAGGCAAAGAAGTAAAGAGAAAGGGAGCTTCCCTTCAGAAACAAAAGTCTCTGACCAACCTTTCCCTGACCAGTGAAGTGGAGAGAAGACCCACTGTGCGCATTTCCAACTGGTTTGGAAATGCTGCTAAAGCCAGCCAGAGGGAATCAGGCTATGCAGAAAGGCACTCGCTCTCCAGGTTTCTCTCAAGGTCTGTGCAGTCCCTGTACCACAGCAGCAGTGGCTCAGGAGCCTGGAGCCTCCTGCCTGCAGGAGGCAGCCAATCATTCTGCGAAGACACTGAGGACTGGTCTGCAAGAAGAGGCTTGGAAAAGGAGAGTGATGAAGACAGCAGGTCTGAAGATGAAAACGGGTCCTCGAAGCCAAGCAGCATCAGCAGAAGCTGGGCTGAAGAGGAGGGAGAAAGTTGCCTGCGGGAAGGGACGGCTCACTTGGATGAGGATGTGATCCTCACCATGCTGGGCGATCTGGAGCAGGCACTGTATACTGATTTACTAGGTGAGTTGGGTGGCTGCTACAAATGTGTATAGGAGTATAAGAAATTTCAGAATTTCCGATGTCATGATTCGTGCTAGTCAAGTACCTTCCACTTAGATATCCTAACTTTTCTCCCAATGCATTTATTTATCATTTACTCAGACTGAATTTTTAAATTGTGCTCAAAAATTCCTTCTTTCTTCTTGGAATGAAGTGTGTGTGTATGTGTGTGTGTGTGTGTGTGTGTGTGTGTGTCTTGGGGGGGTGGAGCTATGAGTTGTGAAATCCAGCTGGTTAAAGTAAATAAGATCTCCTTAGGATCTCTTGTGGGCATCATGACCTGCTGTCTAGACATTATAAATACCTAACAGTCAGCATGATTTTCACTTAGTCATTCATGGAACCTTCTTGTTTAACTTCTTTCAGGGTGACCTTACTTTATATAAGGAATGAAAACTGAAGGGTCTCCTGAGTAAATTTCCTATATGGTTTCATTTTCTGCTTTGGGGATACCTGAGTAAATGAATGGCCCATTTGGATTATACAGGACAAGCACTATGCATGCAATGGCCTCTGCTCCCTTGGTCTTTTTCTCTCTTTTTTATATTTAAGAAAACCTGCTTCTGTGTGCATATAACTAAACTATAGATATGACTGTTAACTGTATTATACTTTACAAACTAGGACTTTTTAATGTCATGAATTCCCTCAATAACTTTGTGACATAATCTTTAACTAGATGTGACCATTTTTGTGATGAAACTTTAAATGTTAGCCTTGCCATTTACCTAAAGAACATGTGGGCCTAAAAATGTACACATTTTGTTGTTTCTAAATTCAATTCTCTATTGAAATATATTTACATCATATAGTCTCTTCAATAATAGCTAAGTGTAAAGCCACAGACTACAATGTAGTTCATGCCACTCTGGATTTTCACAAATGACTTTGTATAGGGCTCTTTAAATTTACAAGAACTAAAGCTGCCAATGATCTCTTTTTTCTCACTCACACAGATGTTGCTAAATACACATTTGGTTTTATTTCTATGTGGACCCTCTTGTGACTAGATGTTTTATGAGGCTGTCTGGTATGTTTTAGGGAACAGCTTTGGAATAAGAAAGCTTAGAGACAACTGAGGGATCTATGACTCAATTTTTCATGCCAGTTTGATTTTGAAAGAGTAATGGTTCCACAGTTTTAAGAATAGTGATTTCTGAATCTGAATAGACCAAGTACCAAAGATTTATTTCTTCAGCATTGTGTGATTTCAGTGAGGAGATAATTTTCGTTTTTAAAAAAGCTCTGTACATTACAAAGATGAGAGGAATTCTTGGTCTTTGTGTCTTTTACTTTCTTTTCTTTTCTTTTTTCTTTCTTTTTCTTTTTGATCCTTTGGAACTGTAGTTTCAGACAATATTTATCCTTGGCTTTTAAAGTTATAACATTCATCTTATTGTAAGTATCTTTTGTGAAAGTATTTTCAATAATTTGAACAGAGTATAGTCCCAAGATAGTATTTGGAGGTTGCTCTGTTAAATTATTGCAGTCTGTGGGTGGGTATAAATATGAAATGCTGCATATTTACATAAATAACCTGGATCATTACTGTCACAGGGTAACCTCCTAAAAGGAGTGTGTCTGTTCTGGTTTTGAACAGAGCATCTGTATATTGTATTCGTGTGATTATTCTCCAGGAGGGTCCCCCTTTCTGCCCACTGGTACCAGCATTCAAAGAATGCAAGTGAACAGTATGGGAAGAGCATAGTCAAACAGTTCTGTTATGACTAATCGGATTCATGGATAAGCATTTCAGTGAAATTTCCCCCAAATCATGATCCATTAAGTTTGTGAACATACCCAATCTCATAGCATAGAGAATTACAGAATTTCTGTTGTGTACTTGACTAGGTCCTGCTTATGATTCAAAATGGCCTCTTCTAAGTTAGTTTTTAGGCAAGGTTCCATGAGTCCAACTTTCTTTTTTCCTATTTCATATACTAATAGATTGGGCTGGTGAGGGACTTGCTGTAAATGTACATGATAGTGTTTAAAATGTAACTGCATGGCTTTTGACCATATTTTTCTATCCCTGACAATGTCTATATAATCCATAGGAGTTTAAATTTTTTAGCTAAAAGTCATTGTTGGGGTCATCTGGAAAACCAGTGTTAATTTGCAGAATAAGTTGGGTAGAGTAATCTTTCGATAATAGTGTATACAGTGGGGATGGTATGAAGGCTCCAATTGTCTGAATCAAGTTCACACGTCTATAATTTGATTTCTATTAAAAGATGGTAGTGTGACAGTGTTAATTATAGTGTGTATAATTAAAGTCTAAATAGTAAGAGCAGACAACTCAAATTAAATGCTCTATATTCCGCTGAGGAGCAGAACTGAAGCACCATGTTGAGTCTGGCATGATGGAAGCAGCAAGAGAGCAGACTGCGGCAATGTTAGAGACTCAAGTAGTTGTGAGAATACATCACTATAGGAAATCTATGGACATCCTGACCATTGTGACTGACACATGGGAAGACTGCTCTGGGAATATTAGTGGGCTTTGAAATTATGCAAATGGGAAAGGGTTTAGCATTTTGTGATTAAATACATTTCTTATGTGTGTTGTTCTGATAACTTTTATTTATTTACTGAGCATTTGAATGTGTGTGTCCTGTGATATTTGGCCTTTTATATTCTCCCACAAATCTTTTAGACATGATGTGAATGCCAATTTGAAGGGCATTTCAGACTGTGCAATCCTTCCTTAGGGTTTGTAAGTACATTTAGTTTTATCTTGCCTTTCATGGGTCATTGAAAGCATTTACTGAAATAAATTTTGCTTTGGTTCATAACCTTCATGATATGAATAAGGCAGAAAAGATAGTTTGCTACATCAGTGTCAGGGACAGAGGTCCATTCATCTGACTGCCATGAGTTGGACAGTGTCATGTTTGGATGTCATCATGAGCAAGGCAAAGGAGAGATGGGGACAGCAGATATGAAACACGAGAGAAACTACATAAATAAGCCCTGATTTCAACTGGGAGGATCCACAAATCAAAGATGCCTATTGGATTAACAAAAAGAAGTATAAAAGGAAATAGACATGAAAATTTTTCAGTAAAAAAGAATGTCTAAAGCTAAAGATGTTCTTAAAACTAGTATTTAAACATATTTGTTGGAGCTGAAAAGATGGGCCAGCAGTTAAGAGCATATACTGCTCTTACAGAGGACACAAGTCCAGTTCCCAGTACCCACATCAGCAGCCTAGAACTCCAGCCCCAAGGGATACAGTGCCTCTTCTGGACTCCGTGGTCACCTGAACTCATTTACACATACCCACACAAATACACACATACACACACACAATTAAAAAATAATTATAATATCTTTAAAAACATATGAAAATAATTCAAATATCTATATCAATACTGTACTGTTTGGCAAATGGTTAAGATGCAGCCTAACCACAGATGGGTCAGTAGTAGGCACCAGATAGTGATTCACTCCATGAGCTTGTCCGAGGTCCGTGCTTTCAGTTTTTCCCACCCCAACAGGTGGTAGTTTATAAAGGCAATAGGTACCGTACTGTCGGAGATACTTATTTCATACTCATTAGAAAGACATATTTTGGGTTTAGATGCCTAGGCCTATGCTTGGACTCTAATATTACCAGTGTGGATGTTTTAGTTTCCTGTGAAAAGCATAGAGGTAATTAGAAATAAAGCTATCCAGTGTTGTGAATCCTGGACCATGAGTCTAATAAAAGAATCAAAGGAGCTATTGCTTCTCTGAAAAAAGGCCTCTCATCTATTTTCTAGTGTTTGAATATATATTGCTATGTGAGGAATTTCAAGTACTCTAAATGTGCTTAAAATGAGAAATTAATGAAATTTTAAGATTCAAATAATCTCAAATTTTAAAATTAAGTCCTGTGACTGGAATTACTATATTTCCAAATGACTCTAATCTTGTAATGACTAACGTCCTAGACCTGTGACTATTATTGTATTTAAAACATTTCAATTTTTGTTTGTGATATTAAATTTGTTGTTGTCCACATTTTAGTTGTAGAATGGGTATAATTTTCAGACTAGAGGAGTTATTTGAAATTCCTACCTGTCCTTTTGCTTGAAAGAATAAAGGCTTATATTGCTCGTCTGTGTATATAATTATCCTGAGAGTAGCTATTCCCACAAATAATGAGTTTATTGTGTTCAACTCCAGGTGAAGACCCTGAAACTAGAAGAATGAGAACAGTTAAGAACATCGCAGATTTGAGGCAGAACCTGGAGGAGACCATGTCTAGTCTTCGTGGGACGCAGATAAGCCACAGGTTTCTCGCAGTTCTGCACACCTTTCAAGGGTTCCAGAAACATTGTATCCAGCATTTAACTTTCCTTATAATGATAGAGGAAAAATTGTTATTTACTGTTTTCTTCCTCAAAATTTATATGAAAACCAATCACTAGTAATCCTTAAAGTGAAAACTCTCAGGTACTTTGTTCCCTCTCCATCCCACTTATAGAACTTCCTGATTAAATTGAATTAGCTTCTATAATTATGACAATTGCACAGAGCATCTACAGGGGGTTGGCAGGGAGACATCTAAGCATGAGCACACCTAATTTCCAACATAGGTCTGACAAGATTATAGTGGGTGAAGTTAAGAGTTTCATTTTTTTTAGATACCCTTCCCTGTCTGCACCCCTACCATAACCCCCTCCCAACATATTCCCAACATATTCCATGCATTCTTTCATATATGTTAAGGCCTATCAAGTCAAATTTTTGTCCCCAAATGTTCCTCAGTGTGAAGCCATCCACTGGAGCCTATAAATATGGGTGGCCTTCATTGTGAAAGCAAACAACTTCAAATGAACGTCTTTCCCACAGTTTGACATCTGTAGATATGAATAGACTCACAGAATAAATTTGTGCACTGTTAATATTCATGAAAGTGATATGCTTCTATCCATTGACTCTCAATTTTAGCCTCTCTGGTCATCATGCATCTTGGTCTCTGGCCCTAGCGAACTAGAGTATAGTTATTGCTCCTTTTATTTTTTACTTTTTGGACAGCACCCTGGAGACAACATTTGACACTACAGTGACAACAGAAGTGAATGGAAGGAGTATCCCCAACCTGACAGGCCGGCCCACTCCGATGACCTGGAGGCTGGGCCAGGCATGTCCTCGTCTTCAAGCAGGAGACGCCCCCTCCATGGGTGCCGGCTACCCTCGCAGCAGTACCAGTAGATTCATCCACACAGATCCCTCCAGGTTCATGTATACCACGCCTCTCCGCAGAGCCGCTGTCTCAAGGCTGGGAAACATGTCACAAATTGACATGAGCGAGAAAGCAAGCAGTGACCTAGACATGTCTTCTGAAGTGGATGTTGGTGGATACATGAGTGATGGAGATATCCTTGGGAAGAGTCTGAGGGCTGATGACATCAACAGTGGGTAAGTGACCCTGAGCTCAGCAGTGTTGTCATGGCCAGGACGGGTAAGCAGGGATGTGTTAGCTGTGAGAAGGATATGGATGTTACCTAAGTCATTAGTAGATGTCAGCAACTTGACATCATTTGAGCTGCTTCTGGGCCTCCCCTCTGCTTCTCATAGAAAACAAAATGCTAATTTTTTCCAAGATTTCTTTTTCTAAGTTATAAATATTTTTCATTTTTAGTCTACAGAAATATGTGCAACCTGCATTTTTCAGAGTGATTTTCAAATGTTCCTCTATAACAGATTTTGTAGTAGAGGAAATGGGAAGGAGACAGGAGACATTTTGTTGAACTATTGGAGTTTCTTTTTTGGCTCAGGCTACCTATAACTGCCTTGAGGAACAAATATTTTCTGACATTTTTCAATAGTATAAATTCAATTTAAATAGAGGGAAAACTCATTTTATAATTGAAAGGTTTTTTTTTAAATAAAAAATATTTATTACATTTTGTTTATTAATTTTGGTGTGTGTGCGTGTGTATATCTGTAGGCACATGCATGCTATGGTACACATGTATGGGTCTGAGGACAACTTACAGGAATCAATTTTCTCCTTTTACCATGTCAGTCACAGGTATAAAACTCAGATCATCAGGTTTGGGGTAGGTATCTTTACTCCCGAGCCATCTCTTCAACTGCAGATTTGAATGTTTTAATTTATTTATTCTCTATTGATGGTTTCAGACTTTAAAATTCCTTAGTCTTGATTCCTTCTTATTCTAAAACCATGCTGTGTTTCTAAAATGTTTTAGGTTGTTTTGGCAACTTGGAACACGTGGTTTAGTCAGAGGATGAGTTTTTGAAGCAATGTTATATTCAATTAAAATAACTCCTGGGCCAGGGAGATGGCTCAGCAGGTGAAGGCACTTGCCACTAAGACCAATGACCTGAGTTCAGTCCCTGGTACCACAAAAAGGAAAGAGAGAATCAACTGCTGCAAGTTGTCCTATGACTTCCATGAATATGCTACAACATGTACATACACACAGAGATACACACACACACACACAGAGCAAGATATATATATATATATAGAGAGAGAGAGAGAGAGAGAGAGAGAGAGAATAAGTAAGTATAATGCAAAAAAACTACTTCTATGATTTGTTATTTTTGAGCACTTCCCATTACCTGTCACTCTCTTGTTAAAGTACTTTAAAGATAGCTTTACTTTAGCCTCCTATCCCCCAAACCCCTTAAGGAATGTGGAACCTGAGCCTAATTCATCCCAGTCATATAACACAGGAATGGCCAGAACTAGGGTAAAAATCACTGTTGTCTGACTTCAAAAAAGAGAGGTTCCATGCCTCAGGGAAAAGTTTCTAAACTGTATGGGTAATTTGCATATAAATATTTGATCATTTGAGCTTGATCTTCTCTTTACCCCTGAGCATCTTGGAGAATCAGTTTAAGAAATCATTCTTTCACATTAATAACTCTTCCTGTCTTCTTCAAGAAAACCATTTATTTGAATGGTGACAAAATCTAACATCTAACACACATACACACACACACACACACACACACACGCACACACACGCACACACACACTCCTGTAAGTAGGAGAATAGATTGTATACTGTGA